TCCCAAAAAAAAAAAAACACGGCCGACAGCAGGAGCACCGTTCCACGTGCTCGGTTTTTAAAGGGAAAAGAATGACGGATATTAAATTGGTTGAAGAGTCGAAGGTTGAGACACGGAGGAAAACCACAAATTCAATGGGAACGATTGGACTGACATCGTTGAAAGATAGAAGTACTCATTTAAAATGATTGCAATCGGAAAATTTGGTAGAGGTAATTTCGAATGTGTGGAAGCTTTTAGCAATCTATGGAGCCTATATGATGTTCGTTGTTTACTATTTGCTATTCATCTTCTAGAATAGTTTGATTGACTTTTCAGATTTGAAAATCTAGATTCGAAGAGGAAGTACAAAGGGGATAAGAGTGATTTATTCTGAAACGATTCATTAGATATAAATATTAACTTATAATAATTTTAAAAACTCTATTTTAGAGGTGTAACCTCATGGAAAAATCATTTGATAAAACGTTTCAGTACGAATCAAATTGTTGTTTATTGTTTGACCTAAAATTAACATTAAAATGATAATGTAAGTAGTCGTTCGGTTTAAAAAAATCATATATATTTTATTTGAATATTTTATTTTTTGATATTGATATATTAAGTAAGACTCAAATGTCTTGTTAGCAAATAATATTAAATGAGAGACCGAATTTGTTTGTTAAACAAATCATATTCACTGAATTTTTCGGACAATAATTATAAGCCTGTTTTATGTAGAGGCAAGGAAAAATTGTAGGTAATTTTGTAATTTTGTCTAGTCAGCACTTTTGCTAATTTTATATATTGATATTACGCTTCCAAACAGAAACAATAGACACGATTGCAAGCAAATTTCATTTGGTTTCATTTCAATTGTGCACAATTGAATTTTTGTGCACCACAATCAATTGGCCTTTTCGTAGTTGTAGTTGTCGCTTTTGCTTTTGATTTGGCTTTTGCTGGTCAGTCGAACAGCGCTTTGTCATTATTGATTTTCAGCCACGCCCCTGCCGGAGTAGGAGTCCATCAGTCCGGGTTTTCCGGGATTCCAGAGACGCACGTTTGTAGGTTCCACTTATTTATGCATCGTTTGTCCGTGGCTTTATTCCTTATTATTAATTTCGTTTCGGTTTGCATTTCAACATACAGATATTATGGCTAGCCGGCTGACAAAAACAAAAATCCATTAATATCCTTTTTCCTTCGGGCTATTTATGGTTACCAATGAAATGGCAGAAAGCAAATGTGAGTGTTAAATGCGATTGCATTAAGTTTTCAATACGCGAATTCATCTATTGGCCGGCTAATAAAATACAAAATAAAATGTATTTGAGGTCAGCCGACCAAACAATTTTGAAATTAATTGAAAAGAGTTTTGGGCAAGGCTCGTTTTATTGTTGCCGTCGATTCGCCCGGGAAAATCATCACCCTCATTTCGGGTGCACCCAGTGTTGCTTATATCCGGCTTGCGGCACGTTTCCGGTTGCCATTTGGCGCTGCTGCTAATTTCACAGTTTGGCATTGCGGATGCGAAAAAGGGGGCCAACCGTTTTGGGTTGGCCCCCTTGGCCCGTTGTCCCCCGCAAACAATTAACTCCCACCCACTCGATCCAAAAGCGAAAGCTCTGCAATTCTGTGGTTAAGTATCATTTCTAATATTTTGTGTGACACCCGTGCGACACTTTGGCATTTGGGGGTGCGTTTTGGGTTTTTAGCCAGGCTGCCAGCCACATTGTTTATGGCTCACTCAAGAGTTTCAGCCAAAAGCCAACAGCCAACAGCTAATGCCAACCCCAGCAGCATTTGAACAAAACCTGGTGCCACCGCCGAGCACAAAAACAACAATAAGCAAGCATAAGCAAGAGCAAAAACAAAAACAACGGAGGAGCTAACCCATCCACTGGGGGCAAAAAGTTTTTAAGTGAAAATAGTCATTCAAATTTAATTAGTCCAAAACAAAGCCAGAACGTAATGAGCTTACGCTTAGGCTAACTGCTGCGTTGGAAGGGGATGAGTTTCAGGCTGTGGGGATGGCTCCATCTCAATCTAAAATTGTGGATATTGCACTCAGTCCCACTCATTGCCCTTTTGCGTTCCCAAGTTCCGAAAAGGGTGCCATCCACCGACTAAAGGGGTCATGTGCGACACAATTACGGCAAAGGTGGAGCCGGAGTCAGCAGCGTTTTGCTGTCACATGCCACATGGCCGCAGGAACTCCCTCGGCCACGCCCACTCTTCCCAAAGCCCACGTAACACCCACACCCACAGCCACACACACAACGAGAAAACAGCGAAACTGAGAGCAGGTCGACAACGGCAGCAGTTTCAAAATATTTTACGTAATATCATTGTTCGCACTCGTAACTAACTTTTGCCAACGCTCTATGCAGTCACAAAGGATACATCTCCACCTACGGCTCCAGTCAGACCATCTCCACAGTATTCGCACCCATTCCCCAATATGTAGTCCTCAACTCCCAATGCCCCAATCCCCCAATCCCCCGATCCCCCGATTCACGCGTCACCCAACCCAGTCCTACTAATACTTGCCAACTGTTTAGCGTGTGACGAAACTTTCTTGTTGCGAGGGACACTTCAAGAGTTTATCCGGCAATGTTATTTCTAATTACTTATTCCCAGCCCTAAAGCTTAAAATTAATGTGAGTAACAAGTAATCGTTGTGTTAAATCTATAACCAAGAGTTTTGACCAGAAGTTAGCAAGGAAAAAATTATAATTACATAGTTTTTCGACCAACTTAAAAACCGTAAGGACTTTAAATAATCTAAATGTTTCTTGAAGCATTAGGAAATAGAGTTTAGTTAGTAGTTTAGTATATGTAAGTTTAATAACATTTTTATTGGTCTATATTTTTAAAAAATATTTAATACTTTGATCTTTGAAATCACAAATTAATGGACAGTAAAAGAAAATAAACACATGTGTTTGTTAATAACACGAGCTTACAATTATTTAATTGTAATTTGACTTGCATATCTTCTTACAATTCAACTCACAGCAATTTACTTACTGATAAAAATATACAAAATAATATTTTCTTATATTATAAACTTTGTTTGAATTTTTCATCTCATTTTATCAAGAATAATGTAATATATAGAAATGTAATACATAGAAAATTCTATTACATTACATTACAATATTCTTCAAGTGTAAAAATGTATTTTTTATTCTGGAATAATTTCTTAAATGAGTACGTTTCTCTTATATTAATTTGTTCTCTAATGTCTTTAATTTTTGTCAATGAAATGAAGAGAAAGAAATCAATAGTTATTAATTTATATTTGTAAATTGGCGTAAAAAATTATGGAATGCCTGGTGAAATGGGCTCGACTTTCATTTGGCTTCCTGCTGATTCCAATTCAAAGTATATCAATTTCGGCTTGCGCAGCCCGCGCAGATGTTTCTCCTCTGCATGCCCGTGTGCAAGTAAGTTGCATTGCACGGAAGGGTACTCTTTCGGATCGGGTGGCTATATATGTATGGGATAAATGGGGTGTATCCACCCCGGTGGGTGAACCTGGTTTGGGATGGGTCTGCGTTTTCGGCGCTGCGGCATATGATTCGTATCGCTGATACGGTTTCTGGTCCAATGGCACAGTTAGTTTGCATCCTACGTGCCAGCTAATGTATGCTGGCTACCCTTCTACGTGTCCGTGCTTCAGGACCTTTCTATACAGTGGGTGTAGGTGTCGGTGCTGCGTGTGTGTATGCCAGCACATCCGTGTTAATATAAACGCATAACAGCATTTTTAGCTGTGAAATAGTTTTGCTGTTGCCGCTCCGAGAGACCCCGAAAATCCACTCCTTCCACAGATCCTGCCATTGTTCTGTACTCCCTGCCTTCCTGTAGGTGTAATTGTGGCCGTTGCCGGTTGCCGGTTGCCATTGTCGACCGTGTGGTAGTAGCTTTTGCTTTCGGTTGGTTGCCTGAGACTGGGTGGGCTTTGGTGGGTTTTCTCTAAATTAATACATCACATGCACGCAAAAAGGACGACGACGACGACAAGAACGAAAACGAGAATGAGAACGACGAGGACATGCATACAAGCTTAATTATGGGATTTAGCCGGGTTGTCTTCTTGGTGCGGTTTTAGTTCGGTTTTGGTTTCTGGTCTGACCATCTAACTATCATATTTTGGGTCGCGTATAATTGGGATACATGCAGATCTGCCCGAAAATATTTTAATTTAGTAAGGTGAGGGAAGGATTGGGATGTCAGCAGCTTCCATACTCCCGACCCGATGGCTTTTGAAAACATTTCACGTGGCAATTTTTAATGGCATTTGTTTGGCCTTTGGGTGCGCTGATGCGCACTGATGGAAATTGTAATAGACAGGCGATAGGGATCACAGAGGGCTCAAGGCCCGGAAAAGCATCCTCGGAATGGGAATGGGGAATCGGAGAACCTGGATGAATCGAGGAAACTGGGAACACAAAACGTGCCCCTATTTCGTTAACGGAGTCTCGGTGCTGTCATTACCATTAACATTTTGGCTTGGGCAAACATTTTAGCCTCGCACTCTCGAACTCATTTGCACTTTTGTTTGCATTGGATTTGGACAGTGTCAGCGCCGGCGGCCGAAACCATTGACATGGCCACATTTGGGTATTTTCGTGTCGCTTCAGTTATTTGATTAGTTAACATGTGGACGGAATGGAAGGGTTTTGGCTGTTTGGCCGGCGTCGCAATGCTCACTTTCCACGCTTCAACGGAAAAACTAAATGGGGAAAGTTTGATGCAGTAATTGATTGACATTATTTGCTTGCTTTAACCATTGTCCATAGAGAGGGAAATGTATCAAAGTCTCAGCTGGTGTCACTTTTTGTAGGGTAATTTATTACAATTTTTGATTACTTTTGAATTTAATTTGCTTTTTGAAAACCACAATCTTACAATTTCTACAAATTTAAAAACGAGACACTCTGCAATACAAAATTAAACTTACCAGAGAGCCAGCCAACTTTTCTTAAATACCTTAACCATGTTATTTTCTTTTAGTGTCAAAATCTGTCTAACAAGATATAATTTTGAGAATAAAATGTGCAAAAAGTGGGATTTACTAAGCCGACTGAACTTTTGTACTAGATACATAGCTTGCATTTTCTGGGCATGCCTCAATATAGTCATTGGATTCTGTTTCATTCGTGAGTAAATCTTAAGGAAAAGAATGATGTCTTAAACTAAAATTCATTGTGATAATATGACTTGACATTAAAGGTAAAATCAGACTACTGCGATTTAAAGTATTTGAGGAACATTTAAACTTGTTAGCGCTGTAGCACTATAGAATATATTTTATAAATATTTTTTAGCTCCAGTACAGGCCCTTGGCATTATTAACTATTATTTAAATTGTAACAATTTTTGTTTCAGTTTTATTTTTTAGCTCCAGTACAGGCCTTTGGCATTATTAACTATTATTTAAATTGTAACAATTTTTGTTTCAGCTTTATTCGTGGAGTTCGTAAAGCAACAAAAGCTTCCAGTTGCAGTTCTGGTTATTGGTTGCATATGTGGAGCCAACTTTCTTTTATCTGGTTTTATGCTCTTAATTGGAGTTTTGAAGGTTATTTCAATATTGTTTCCTCTTTCAAATCTTTATGACTTCCTTATTTTAAGCAGGGTGTCCGCTGTCTGGTTTGCTCATCTATAGTTTTCTGCGGCATAGGTGTTTTCTTTGTCCACTGGCTAATCCTTCCTTTAGGTGAGTTCAACTTGCTTAATTTGTATTTTTATGATTTAATCTTTAATTTCCCCCCTTTAAGCGCTTTATATTATATTCTCCTTTGTTGTGTTTACCTATTATCAAGTGGACTTGTCTCCGGATGATCGATACCGAGTAGCTAGAAGGTTTTCATAAATAAAATAAAATGTTATTGCTCTGTGATTTTCCTATCTGTTTATATTATACTTTATTTGCACTAAAACCAACAAAAAATAGTTTCCCACTTTTCGCACGTTAGTCCGCTGGCTTTTTCACATATTCGAATTTATGATAGGTACCGGATCAGTTGGCATAAGCGGAGCTTTAGGCCTGAATTGCAATCGCCTTTTGGCCGCTTAGGAAAATATTTATTCGAAGTGCGGCCAACTTAGCCCATAAGTATCTCTGTATCGCCGCCCCTGCAATCTACTCCAAATACTCGTAACTGCAATAGTTTTATTGCTCATCATGGAGCTGGCCCTCTAGTTTTCGGTTTTTTTTTTCGGAAAATCCCCTGGCGAGGCCGAGTTCAATGCTCTACTTAGTTTTATTTTTTTTTTTTTGGGTTAGTGGTGGGGCCGCAAAAAAGGCCAAAACGGCTCAGCTTGTTGTTTTATGCCGACTGCTCAATTTGCTGTTACACTGGCCGGACCAAAAACACAGACAACACCAGTTCATCACTTACACGCCAGGGTAATTTAAAACAAATGCCCCACCAAATCGCATTTGGCTTTGGCTCCACAAGTTTTTATTGCCGCTCGCATATGAAGCGGCAAATTTGTTCATCCACTACAATTTGGCATGCCATTTATATTGGTTCCATGTTAATGCCAGCGCCAAATCCCCGACCTGAATGAAAAGCGCCACTCGAGTCCATGCACCAAAGAGCCATCCGGTTGATCTAGTTGTTCCTGCAGTTGTTGATGCAGCTGTTGTATTTTTTAATAGACCCATTAAAAAATAATTTAACAGATAGAGAGTCACACAAGCCGATTCGTTTGCCTCGTTTTGCCCTCTGAATTGAATAAATCATAAATCATTCAACTTTTGGCCGGAGCTGTGAAATAAAAATGCCCCCGAAAACATGTGACGTGCATATCGCGGTGGGTCGGCGTTTCTATTAAACGATACACGATGAGCAGCCAGGCAATTTGTCCAATTTATCCCACCATCCACACTTTCTCCCCAATTTTCGCTGTTTGTGTGTGTTGTTTTTCTTTTTCTGCCGCGTGTGTGTTTACTTTTTTACACATCATAATTTTTTATGCTAGTTGACTTCTGGACACTGCCGCGACCTGTTTTTCTTTTTGTCCTTTTTTTCGCACAGCGCCGAAAAGTTGTTGCCATGTACAAATTAATAAACGAGTAACTGACAAAAAGGTAATTTATTATTTTATACATATTTGACAAATTAATTTAATGACACAGCGCCGTCCCACACTCGCACATTAACGCACATGTCCCACTGGGCACACAGGATACCCTGTTGGATCTGGCTGCCTCGCTCCTTCCCCCCGCTGCCACACATAATAATTTCTCATTTAATTTTTCAATTTTAAGCGTCATTTACACATGCCATGCCATGGCTGTGAAGCTCTGTCCAGATCCCCGATCCCCGATGCCGCGATTCCCCTCGGCGCGCTCTTTTTCTTCTTGTTTTATTTTTTGTTTTTTTTTGTCAGCTTGTCGGACGGGCGCCTTTGTTTTTGGTCCTGCCATCGCTTTTGATTATACCCTATCGCTGGTGGGGTGTATCCGGCCCAAGCACGTGGGTTGCACTTGTCAATCAACTTGAAAACGACGGATCTAAACAATTATTTAATAATATATGTTCGAGATATGGTGGCTAATTGTAAACGTTCAACAGTACCATTTCCAGTTAAAACTGGTTAATAATGGTAAAGGAAACTTACATATACATATTTTTTATATTCGCCTGCCAGCTCCATTTAAACATTTTTTAACAAAATAGTTTTATTCTTAAACCTAGGCTAGGTTAAAGATATTTTACGGTTTATATACATAACAACTTAACCCTAGCTACATAAATGCCTTTTTCTTTTTTAATACCAATGCTTTAAATTCCTATTTTTTGTTTAATTAATTTTATGATATTGTATATATGACTTTTTCTACTTTGACTTAAAATCTTCATCTGTTAAGCTAAAGTTTTATAAGCAATAATAAATATACGCATAATTTTAACTGTTGAATTTTTTGGCGTATAACTGTTAAAGACGGCTGAAGTAAATATATGACTTAAAATTGTTATTCAATCGTTAAATGTTTAACTGTCATGTCTTTAACAAATAATGTCTCTTTTAAATGTTAATTTCCCGGAATCGTGAAGTGTATTTATGCCTCGACTCTCTTCCACCTGATCGCTTTATGTTGTTCTTTCGTTTTTTTTATATTTGCATTAAAAGGTAATCATCGGGAGCAGCGTTGCAGCGTTGTTGGCAAGCCTTGCAATTTTCGCACCGTTGTCGTATTTTGTATGACTGTCATTAAGTCGTCAGCGGGTTCAGTAACGAGAAGGACAATGCCGAGGGGATGGCTGGGGCTTCGATGGAGGAATATGGTCTGTGGACTCCAGACAGCAGACAGCAGACTGCAGAGTGGCAGGACGCAATCAGTTGCTCACTCAGTTGGCGACGCATCAGTTTAAATGACTCGTCATGCCCGCTGGCGATGGTGTGAATGTTCAAAGAGGAGTGGACGGGGGGAGGTGCCGGGTCGAGGTGGTGGCCAGCATTGCCCCAAGGACGCCGTCAGATACTGCTGGCGGTGCACTCGAATTGGTCTGGAGAGCTCGCACGTTAATGACACTAGAATCAGTTTTCATTAACGATATAACGTGCGACTGGCCACTCGGAAGTGGAGTAAAAAAGTGGGCAGTGGCAGGGAAAAGCTGGGGAAAAGGCAGGGAAAAACGGAGGGAAAACTGGGGGAACCGCATGCGTGCATTGCTCGCATATTTCTCTTGGCCGCGGCTGCTGCGGCGACTGAGGCTTTGGCGCTGGCAATTAATAAAACACACACCTTCTGTGCGGCCGAAACTCTCTACTCCACTACTCCACTCCTGTATACTCTCCCCTTTTGCACAGTGGTCTAAAGCGCTTATTTATGCAACGGCTGGCCTCGATCTCATCCACATGGCCATTGGCATCTGAATCTCGCCATGCATCTGCATCTGCAACTGCAACTGCAACTGAAACTTCCACTGCAACGGATACTGTCGCGTTGACTCTGAAATTGAATTTAAAAAGCTCAAACGCTGCAAAATATTTCACACGCACACGCCGTCGAGCTGTGTTGTTGCCTGAGATTTAACGTATAAATCACATTTTGCCAGCGAAAAATATAAATAAAATATATGTATGTGCCAGTGCCTGTGCTGTGCCTGTGTCAGTGTGTCGTCTGCATAAATCTTTCAGTTTGGATTTTCACTTTGGCGGCATAAATTGACACTGGCTGACGACATTGCCGCCGCCACATTTGAAAACCGCGCTTAAAAGCATGCTCGCTCGATCGCTTGCCCCCTCGCAAAAACTCTTGCATTGCAAATTGCGTTTTTTGTCAGCTTAAATAAAGCAACGCGCGCTGACAGTGAAAACTCATTTACGCGAAATTAAATTAAAAGTTAATTAACGCTGTCAATGTGCAAAGCACTCCAGCCAGTCTTTTTTCCCTTTCGCCCCTGTTGAAGAGAGTAGTGTAGTAGTATCATGAGTTGAGGATGGAGATGGGGATTCAGGTAACTACATGCGACTGACTACCTGCAAACTGCGAACTGCAACTCTGCGGGCCAAGTTGAAAAATCACCGCAAGTAAAGTTAAGCATATGTCCGCTTAAATTGATGCGAACTGGTTTTAAACGCCAGCCAGCCTGACAATTCGCGATTTTTTTCGCTCGCTTTTGCTTTTGCTGTTGCTGTAGCAGTTGCAGACTGGCAAGTTGTTTGCTGGACTCTGAAATTGGTTTGTCGGCTGCCTGGGAGGGATTTTGGGGAGGATGCGGGGCTTTGGTGGCAGTTCGCTTGATTGCTTGGCTGCCCGGCAGTTATGCGCTGCGCCCACAGTGCGTATGCTTAATGTGACATGACCATCCGTCCGTCCGGCTGACTGGCTGGCTGGACGGAAAAAATCAACAAGCCGATCCCAGCCGGCTGATAATTAATTTTTAAGTAAAACTGAAATTTACACCGGCCAATCAGCGATAAACCGACAAAGAAAAGGAGGCTTTTTAATTGGTCCCCCCAGATGATCAGATGATGATGATGATGATGGTGGCTTATTTGTCATTCAGTACGGTATTCATGGCATGAACATTTTCAATTGCCTGTCACATTCCAGCTAAGCGAACATGCACCACAGCGGTCTAATTGGCGGTACATGGCCAAACTGACCACAAAATGCATTGCCGGCCTGATTAATTTGCCAAGACATCAATTCCGGTGCTCATCAAATGGGCAATGGCTAAATATTTGAAAAGCAATTCCGAGGCAGAATGTCGAATTTACCTAGAATTGCTGGCATAATTGATACAAGGTTGGCGGGAAGCAATCTTAGGTATCAATCGTTGTGTTTTACCTTAAGAATGAGAATTATTCTCCGCTCAACATCAGCTTAGACTTTTTGCAAATATATCAAATATCAATTTAACTTGATAGCCAATTTTATTGTTTTATTTTTATATTTACAAAGTTAAGTGGTTTGGATCGGAATATGAACAGTATATTCTTGAGTAGCATAATTAGAATAATTATAAATATATATTTTTTTGTTTTACTTACTTAGTTTAACTGTTTCATTAATTATTTATTTAAAAAGATCAATAGCTTGGCTTAGGCTCTTGAAGCGATTATTTATAGTTGCGATCCAATTTGTTTAGGCATTGTTGTCTAATGGTATTTTATAATATAATTATATAATATTAAAACTTTATCATAATTATTCACATAAGTCGATGATATTAGATTTATTAAACCTAACTTAAAAGTCTAGGTCTAAATAGATAAACTTTGATAACGTGTTGGTGAAATGCTTAAATATTTTCATTTTTTGTTGTATTTTATTTGAAGTTTCCTTTAATTGGAAGCGTCACTGAATGATGCCTCCCATTAGGCAGCTCCAACTTCATCTTGTGCCAGCAGAGGCCGCGAAGGACCTCCCAAGTTCACCCAGGGAGCGAGGCGACTGAAGTGCCTCGACTGTCCTGCTCCTTCATGTCAGCTCGCATTGGGGTCGAGCGGCGTGGCAATATAAATAAATATGCTTGTTGTCTGGCAATTCGAACTGCACTCCCACGGCCAATTTCGTTGTGAAAAATTAAAGATAACATAAATGCGGCTCGCCGGGGCACGCCATTCCGGACGGAGCTAGGCCCGAAAAGCGGAAAAGCGGCGGAATGCCGTGCCAGGACATCAATGTCGTGGCGTCTGGCGTGCTATTTGAATTGAACAAGTGTCAGCGTCGAGGGGAAACAGCGTCGAAGCCGTCGCTCTATGGAAGGCCCCCCTCTGTATTATATATCGAACGACCTCTGACCCCGCACCGCGCAGCCATTCCCAGACGTTGTTGTACAGCATTTGCATGTCCTGCCAGTCGGCTCTCAAAACTCAAAATATTAACACTTTAACGCCAAGTTTTTTATCCGGCTGCCGGAAACAGACAACACAGCGCACATAAACACAGCGCCAAACACAAATACTAGTGTAGCTAGTGAGCTCTCGGCGTTGTCGGCAAAACGCCATGTTGGATTATTCAACTCGACGCCATTTCGCGTCACAATGCGCGCTATGCGCCGCCATCACTGCAACCGACAGCGAACGGCACACGGCAGTAGCAACAACAACAGGAACAGAAGCAACAACTGCAACAGCGGCAGCAACAACAGTAACAACAGCAACAACAGCAACAGCTAAAGGCGACCCACACGGCGGATGAAGTTGCAATTCAAAGTCATAAACACGTGGAGCGTGGGCGCAAAGTCTCAGCTAAGCCGCGAAGAATGAGGGGAAAAGCGGAAAAAGCGGGAAAAGCCGGGAAAGCGGATGAGGGAAAAGCGGGAAAGGCAGCCACTTCCTGCCCCGCAATTCCTAGCCTGGCCCCTTTTATTTTCAGACCATTTTGTTGTCTATGCTTCACGACAGTCAGAGGGTATCACAAGCATATTAAATCCAGTCCATTTGGCAGCCAAACTGCAATTGAAAGCAGTGTCATTCCCTTTGATAGCTGAATCTAAAAAAAAATCATATAATGCATTCATTATTTATTTGCTATCTTCACATATAAAACTGCTCATAGAAATACTTTTTTACGGCTTCTACCTGAATATTCAGGTGCACATTTAATTTAAATATTAATTTTAATTGTTAACAGCCACTACAGATATTTAAATAAAAACAAGGAAAATATTTATGCAATGTGTGACTTCATAAAGCCTTTTATGAAGATTATAAAATAACACAATTAAATTGTAGCTTGCCGTTTTAATATGTTTGCCAAAATTGTATAGTTTTTTCAAAGTGCTACAGCTTTGTTTACTCTCAATGAAAATATTGAGCTAGGAAAAGTGATATCGATAGTGCTGTGCCATTTTTATTAAATTAGATAGTGGTGAGTCTGATATCGGGTAACGCAATGGTCGAGCCATTGATGGCCAACAAATCGCGGCTGTTACTTTTCGGTTGGCACTGTTCGTTTTTCATTTGCATGCGAAATTCAAACATCAGCATAAAAATGCAATTTTTATTGCGCAACATTTCTCAATGCCCGCTGCAAATATTTTCGCGGGCTTTATTATATTTTTTTGCAACTGCCACTGCCACCGCAATCGCCATCGCCTTTGTATTGTTTTGTTTTGGCCCTCCTGGTTTGGTCTTCCCATTGTTGTTTGTTTTGGTTCGGCTTGTTGCCGCTGCTCCCTTTGGCTGCTGCTCATATTTATTTGTGCTTTTTATTTCGACCCAACCACCCACCCACGGCTTTATTATGAGCTGCACTTTATGAAAATGCAGTTGCCAGCCCGCTGACGCTGTTGCTGTCGCTGTTGCTGTTGTTGCTGCTTTTGCTGTTGTTGCTGGCGCTTGCCACTGCCACCGCGCTTCGAGTACATTGCAAATATTTTATTATTGCACAATTTCGCCAACTTATCCCGCCGGCATATGAATGCAAGCAGGAGGAGGTGTAGTTATAGGGGATCGGAATCTCCTGTTGGCCGCAAGGCTGCAGGAAGGATGCAAGCCAGCTAAAATAATATTTCGTTGCTGTTTGTTGGCTTGTTTGTTTTTGTTTGTCGGTTCGTTTAGTTGAAATTACGTTCTGTATGCCACTGAATTTCATAGCAGAGCACCAGCGAAGCACACAACAACAACTTGAGCCGAAAAACTTGCTTTCGGTTGTTATTATTCTTGCGTTTACTCCCGGCAAATTTGCCGTGTGCCGCCTTTCTTTCCACGAACTCCGGACTTGCTGCGCTTGCTTTTGTTGTTGTTGTAGTTGTTGTTATGGATACCGCCTGCCCCTTTTTTCCCCACTTAACTGGCACTGTATTCCGTTACACACCGCCCGCCAACCGTCCATGAACCACCCATAAGCCACCCACCGACCACCTCCCGTGTTTTTGGTTTTTCCTTTTTTTCGTGCTGTTTTTCCAACATTTTAACTTCCGCTCAATTTACCTTTAGGCCAAGTAATTTAAAAGCTGACGTGTTTGTACAACTACAATTTCGACTCATGTTGCCGTTGTTCTTGTTGTTCTTGTTGTTTTTGTTGTTTTGTTGCTGCTGCTGCTGATGTTGCTGTTGGCATTGCCTGTGTATAGCACTTCCTGGTGTGGATTTTTGCTAGGATCGGCTCTTGTTCTGGTTCTTGGCTCTGGGTTTACGTTTCGTTTCGTTTCGTTTTCGGCTCTTGGATTTCAATCTCCCTCTGTGCGAGTTGTTTTCTTTCCGTTGGTCAAAATATTAAAAAAGAAATAATATTGGGCGAATGATGAAATTTGCAACCGCCTTGGCATACACAATATTTTGTTTATTTGCCCTCCATTTGACTTGCGCTTGAGGAGTCATTGAGTCAAGTTTTTGATGTGGCCGATGGACTAAAAGTCAAAACATCCGCAAAAGCTGTTAAAACTGTTTGCACCGGCTAATAGTCGCTGCTGACAGCGGCAAGCTGAAAGCAAGCACAGGGAGGTAAATATTAATTAAAGTCGATAGTAAATGGCCGAAAAGCTTTTCGTCCACTTTGCTGTTTTTCTTTCGCTCCCATTTATCCTGCTTTGGCACCCCTCATCCGCCCCGTTTAACATGTGAGCACGCAATTTCCTTGATTGGCAACGCAGCCCCAAGTCGGAGCAGCCCTCCTCATTCATAGTCAGAGTCAGAGCCTCTGAGTCGTCGTCGAGCTGAAGCCAAAAGCTGAAGTTGAATGATTGAAGGCGCGCTACTAAGCTGTCGGCGGCGCTCTGCCAAGGATCTGCATAACGTACCAAAAAGGGTAGCATACTTTTTGGAGCTTGTAGTGCATTAATGCCCCCGAGTAGGTGTGTGTGTACATGGAAAGAAAAACGTTGAAAACAGTCTCAAAGTTATTTTAATTTATATTACCATTTATACATCCATAAACAAATTTAAGTTTAATTTTAAGGCATCTGAACTTTTTTTAAGTGTTAAATATTATTTAACTTATTTCAGATTTGCTTTGGGTTTTTTGAACTATATAATTTTCAAATAAAAATCCGATCGTGGAACCTTAATGCCGTAAATAATTTTGTAAAATAAGAAATCATTAAATTTAACCATCGTTGTGTAAGATTCGTTTTGACAAACATTTTTAAGCTTTCTCAAAGACTTTTTTTTTCTAAATTAATATTATAGCAATTTTTTGTTAAATTTGTGTGAAGACAATGAATTAAGAAATGATAAAAAAAAACAGCAATGGAATTTATTAGCAATTTATTTTTATACCTTGGAATTATATTTTAACTGCTATCAACAACTTTTTGCACATGCAATATTTTTGTTTAGTTTAATTTTATACCACTGATATAAAAATTGTTGGTCTTGTTTCAAAATGAAAGCACTTACCACGTTTTATACAGCATCAAGAAGTCAAACCGGTAGTATTCCTTTAATACTGCATGTGATCCTTGTTTGGGGTCCTGTTTTTCCGCCAGTGTGTGTGTGAGTGAGCGAGGCTGAGCATGAGCAGTTAACGCTATTGTTTGTGTTGAGCTCGGGCGAATCTGGCAGCCAGGTCAGCACCTTCCCCTTCCCCACCACTCCGGGCGCCGGCTTTTCCCCGCTTTTCCCCCGCTTCCCCCGAATTTCCGCCAGTTTTCCCCCCAATCCGCCTGCCAGGCCAGCCAACGAGTCTGTTAGCCAAGCCACAGGCCGGAGCTGAAGCCGAAACTGGAAATGGAGCTAAAGCCGGAGTCGTGGACCACAGGAAGCGCTGTTTGCTCCTGCTGCATTTAGTGAAGTATTGTTTCTGCTAGATTAATCCTGTTTTAATTAAATATACACGCTGCCAGCATAAAACCAACAAGAGCCACGACGCCGGCGAGCAAAAAATGGGAATGAAGAACTCTGGCGGCGGCAAAAACTGCAGCTCCACATCCAGTGCCACATCCTGCAGGCCTCCTCCTTCGACTTCTGACGTCATGCAAATCTGAGTGGAGATGGGGGCCACAGGCTGGTGGATACAGGATGCAGGACGCAGGATGCAGGATGCTGTTGATGCTGCCGCTCCACTCGAAATGACAAAGTGACTTGACTGACTGGGCGAAATGTTTGAGAACAGGACGAAAGAACGAGAGTGCTGCTCGCTGCATTCGACCTCGCTTTATTTATTTATATTTTCATCTCATCCCCTGCTCCAGCTCCTGTTCCTGCTCCTGCTCCTTCTCTTTCCCGATGTTTTACTTCTGCTTTCAAGAAAAATACTTTTTCTCACGCAGCTCGCAGCGAACAGCTCGCTTGTAATTTCTGTAGTAAATTAAAAATGCTGCGGTACTTTTTTGGAGTGCTCTACACGGAGCAAAACAGCTCGGCTCGGTTCATCTCGGGCCGGCTTTGTCATGCATGTTCTGCATTCAGGCAAATCCTAAGATCCAGCTAAAGAGCTCCGCAAGTTTTTAAGTTAATGAGCTGAAAGTTCCTTTGCACCAAGCAAAGTCTTCCAGCAGCCACGTGGGCCAGAATGCCAGCATGACAGGATGCCAAAATGCCGGAGTTGGCACTGGCAACTCAGGGAAGTCAGGCTGGTTTTTAAGTGGCATTATTTTTTGCACTACATTTGGTGATGGTGATGACTCCTGGCCTGAAAGCATTCGGCGTAATTAAGAGTTGCACATAAAAAACTCATGGATCGGTGTGGCCAAGTTTATTTGTTTTTCTGATTATCTCTATAACCACACGTGAACTTAAACACATTGCATTCAATTAAATCATTTCATTTAGGAAAGGCTTTACCGTTCATGCAAACATTGAAAGAATAAATTATATCATATAAAATTAATATAAAATTAAAAAAAAATTCTTTAAAAGTTATAATGAGTCAGCAAATAATGGAATATATCTTTCTTGACTACTAATAAATACTTATATGTGATAAGTACGAATTAATTTGAACGTCATGTGATATTTTTATTCGTGTTCCTAGTGCATGATATTTCACCTTAAATCTAAATCCGCAGCCACTTCAACTGTGCCAACATTTCTGCCTGTCGAGCTGTCAGCGGGATCGGGATCGGAGTTATACTCGTACGCTGGAATATCATAACTTATTTGCCGGGATAACCGGCAGCTAATCAGCGCGCCACTTGAGCCGCAACTTCTACTTCGACGGCAACCTCGAGACGTTATTGAGTTTGTCGTGCTGCCAAAGAGCAGTAGGGTGCTTCACTACGCGACTGCCGTCAAACGGTCTTAACGTTTGTTGTTTGCTTTTCGCCCAGCGCAGTTGTTGCTGATGTTGATGTTGTTGCGCCCGCTGCGCCGTCATGCAATTTCGCTCCATTAAATACGACGCGTACTTAACGTTATAAGTAAACTTCATTGCCGGAGTGTACCACTGCATGAGTGTGTGTAAGTATATCCAGGCACTCGCAGCGGAAAAGGGGGCGGTCGCTGCTGTGGGTGGGTGTGGGGGCGTGGTCCGTACAAGTGTCCATTAAAATTTGTCATTAATTTTCGTTTGTCCCTCCTTCGTCGCGAACGCTTGGCTTCTGCTGTTTCACTTTTTCATCATCCTATTTATTTACCCAGCCACAAATAAATGAAGCAATAAATGCAAAAATGCGTCGTATAAGTTCACATCTTCGAACTGCAACTTTTGCCAACAGCACAGAGAAAAAGTAATAAGTTTTTAATAATCTTTGTTCACAGACATTATGCAAGGCGTAAGAAAACATAAATAAATTCATATTTTCCAGATTAAAAAAATTAGTTACAACAATTGTTTATTAAAAAATCTATAAAAATATTGTTTTGGGCTAAGCCAAATTTATGTTTGTGGCAGGCCAAAAATACAAATTAATTCCAGTGCAGAAAGCATATTTGGCAAAGATACATGTTCAAATGCACATCTGATGTTGTATTTCTTATTGGTTTTGAATCTATTTACCGGCTTAGTTTGGTTTTTGTGGGCTTGCCGATATACGAAAAATAAATATCTACATACATGCGGCAAGCATTTATTTATAAATCTCGTTTATTAGTTAAATTTGCTGTTAGTATAATCGATGCACTCGGCTTCAATAAAAATCAAAAACATAAATCTCTCGATGCACGTATTTAGCTATTGCCCAAAAATATAACGAAAAACACAAGCAACGAAAGGAGGCAAAAATAAATGGAAACAAGTTCGGAATTCCATACAGAAACCGAAATGAAAAACATTTTGCAGCAGAGGAGGGTAATGGACCGTGGTATACCCTGCAAACAATTGCCAAAACAATTGAGAACAATCAAAAATGCATAGAGAAACTTTGCCCAGTAATGTTTTATTTGGCTTCTTTCACTTGCTCCCCGAATCCTCATTTGGGACCAGTTGAGAAACTGAAACTCCACCCGAACCGAAACAGACACAGAAACTGGAGTTAAACTTCAGCTTGAGGGTGTGAATTTCCCTTTTGGCCGGGCATGTTTCTTCCAACCCAATAAGCGCCAACGATCGCTTTCTCGTCCCTGGGATTTAGGTGTGTTTAATATTCACTAATTTATTTACTGTCTTGGGAGGCACAAGTTCTGATAGAGATTCTCGCAGCTTCCGTACAGGATCATAGAATCGATTTTCAAACGCTCTATGGAATACATTTACCTTTTCACTCCAGCAATTTATTCCCAGCTGCAGTGGGCATGGCTGAAAAACTGAACAAGTGAAAAATCGCCATGAAAATGGCAAGCGCTTGGCCATGTAATAACCAAAATTGATAACAATCAATATGGCCATGTGACGGCAGTGTTGTTAGGCCCTCCCATATAATACTCGCACCTCGGTTGCGACCATGTTGGGCATGTTGGCCATGTTGCTGGCATTTAACCCGTAACCTGTCGTTGACAGGACCACGCCCACTCCCACTCCCACTCCACCATTGCCGCCCACTTCGGACTTATGCGAATATCACGGAAGCGTGAACGCAAAGTGCACGCATTGAGTTTTGATTGCCCCCCACCAAAACTCACCAGCCCCCGCTCCTTTGCCAGCAACTTAGTTTATTTGAAAATGCACTTAAAATTTAATTTAAATGTAAATTTGTGCAGCGAAATGTTTTTGTGTGTGTCGAAAAAAAAAATGTTTATGTAAACAGTGTAAGAGTACGGGGAGGCGACAATAGCTTCGAAAAAAGTGGAATAGAATGCAAATGCAAATATTGGCAACAGAACAGCGGCGTTGGAGGGACGAAACCAGCGTGTGTAAGCTGCCTGCCTGCCTGCCGCCTGTCGGATTGCGAACAAAAATGAGAGGAATTTATATGCAGATGTGAAAACATTTTGCACCCTATTCGCCAGCAACAGTCACCAGCATCAGAAGCATCAGCAGCACCAGCAGCTGGAAAATCGCTGGTGGAGTGCTAGCCCTCCATTCCAACCATTCACCATTCACCGTTCACCATTCACCGTTCACCATTCACCATTCTACCACCAGCATGTGCATTTATTTTCAGGTTCGCCAGCGAGCGTGGCGTGCGTGAAATTTAATAAAGCTTTAGCTTTAGCTGCTGCAGCTTCAACACCGACTTTGGCCCCTCTCAACCTTTAACCTCGCAGCCAGCAGCTCCTGACCCTGGCTCAAGTTTTGCGCACAAAGGACGCAGTGCCGACACAGTTGGTGTTGATGTTTATTAAATTTCCTTAAATTATGTAATCTTTGAGCGGGGCCTGCCCAGCAGCAGCAGCAGCGACACTGGCAAATGCAATTCGGAACAACTTAAAAAGCAAACGCACCGCAATAAAAATGTCTTCGCCCCCAGTTCCTGGCTCCGTCATCCGTTCTCTCGCCAACTGCAACTGTCTGCGGGTATGCACTGAGCTGAACAATAGTAATCTTTAAATAAATATTTACTTAAGCGTGCTAAAGTCAGATCAACAGGATATTGAAAGTTAATTTTTTGAGTAAAAAAATAAGTTTTTCTCTTCTCTGCTGTAGAAATTTAATTCATAAAGATATGTATGTCTTTGAAACGGTATATTTTGCTCAGTGTGTCAGTATGTGTTGCACCCTTGCAGCGCTGTTTTCACATTGTTGCTTCACACTAATCTTCTGTCAATGCAATGCCAGGATGAGGATGAAAGCGACAACAGCTTGGCGTGGACTTGGCCACTCCGGCAGCCACCATCCTCCGCTTTTTAAGCTGACCCATCCCACCACCCACTCAGCTGCATAGCTTCAAATACCAAAAAGTACAGACCGCAGCCGCAAACGTTTCAATGTTGGGAGTCCTGACCAAAAAGCTGGGTAACTGAAAAGCTGGGCGGAGGATTTTCGCGCCCAACCTACGACAAGATGAAAGCTGTGTGTTCGGGTGCGAATCTCTGGTTTTGTCTTTAAGTGTAAAAACATTTTGCTTTCGGGCAGGCAATGGCAATCCCGATCCGGATGCTGTTGCTCCTTCTGTTCATTCTGCTGATTCTGGTCCTTTTGGTCCTTTGGCTCCCTTTGCTCCTGTGGCAGCATGTTGTCGCCGATGTAGAAGCGTGTCACCAGCTTTGGACCGCCGATGCAGTCAAGTGCATGTGTGAGTGTGGCCATGGGGTGTTCTGGCTCCTGAGTCCTTCTATTTGGATTCGTGTGTGTTACCAGCTTGTCGGTTGTTGGGCTGTCAGTGTGGTTAATGCTTTTAGCCGCTGCCCAGACGCCCCAGAGCCGCATCTTGTGCAACTCACTAACTCGAACTCGAACTCAAACTCAAATTCAAGCCATATCCCCAAACTGGACCCCAGGCCTGCTTTCTTCACTAAAACTAATGCAATATTCTTATTATTTGGCTTGCCTTGTTTACTCTATTTTGTTTTATTTTATTTAATTTAATTTGGTTTTGATTCCCTCCTTTTGTGTTGTGCTTTTGGCTTTGTTTATTGGCACAACATGCAGCTGCTGCAACAATTTGTCTTGCCGTTCTGCCTTTCGGCCAGCATGTGTGTTTGGGTTGCCTTTTGTTGGCCCGACCGTTCGCTTGTTTGTTTGTTTGTTTGTCCGCTTTACACTCTCTTTGTTATTGTTTCATTTAATGTAATTGCTTCCACAAAGCGGCAGAAAAATAAAGTGCCACCAACAGCAACAGCAACTTCGCACGAAGCGAAATTTTTAATATTTCAAGAACAGACGCCATTTGTCTTGCCCGCAAACTGGACAAGTATCTTGGCAGCCCGTCCTGGTTAGCCCGGCAAATTAATTTCGTATTAGCGCACTCTGACAAATTAAAACCGCAGAGTCAACAGCCCGACAGGTTCCACATTTAAATGTGCCCCTGCAGGCAAATCAATGGCAGCTCTTCCAACTGGGCTCGGCCCACAAATTATATGCAAAGTAACAACTAATAAATATTCAATGGCTGTCGCATTAATCTTTGAACACCAGCTACACTTCGCAGTCAGCAGCCTGTCGGTGGTATCTACATATATATAAATAAAAAAAGAGCAAACGCATTACTAATGCCAATCTTTTAGCCGGACCCCGCCGCACACTGTGTTTATGGCCCATTACTCTGGATCCCCGACATCGGGATTCGGGGTGGACTCGGATTGATTGTTTTAGTGCGCACGCTGATTTAATTAGTGTTTAGAGGGAGAGCTTTGCTGCAGTAATAAATTTAGATTTAAATAAAAAATGTAGTCAAGTCAGTTTGATAGAAAATTATACGAATCATACTGATATTTATACGGTGATAACTTGATAAATGAATAAAGGTAATAAAATGAATTAATTTAAGACTTTAAGTCCATTTCCAAACTTAATTTGCTTATTTTATTATTCTTCCTCAGTTAATTCCCAAGGCCAAAATGTTCTTCATTTCATTATTCATTTAATTTACAGAATACTCTGATTTCATCCTTAGACTACGATAATCTTTTTTAGTTATAAATATTTAATGACATTGTAAAGTTTCCTTCAACACGGTCCTCCTGCCTTGGAAAACCAGACTTTTTCCAATAATTTGCGAAAGTATCTTTGAGGAATTAACACCCCTTGTCCGCTGTTGATCCCTTCAGAGGGTATCCTCCAATCGAACCGTCTGTCCTGTCCATTTTGTAAATTTAACAAATAGTCACTGAGGTGAAAGAGGCGCGTGCTAAGGTCGTAAACAAGCAGGGCCACGGCCAGTTGGCCGATGGCCGTTAGCCGATGGTTGTTGGTTTCTGGTTGTTGGTTGTTTCCTGGGCCTCGTAGAACGACAATACCTGACCGGCCCGACCTGCTTTACCTTTAGTTCAGACCTTTTATGCACACACAAACACACACACACACACACACACGCGGACAGTGACCACAGTGACGCTCTGGCCACTCAACAAAACCCTCAGGCACTTTTTAATCTAACAAAATCCAAAGAAACCGCACGTCGCATAAATAATGAGACTGATGAGGGTCCATTATGGGCACGTAAAACGGGAAGCGCTGCACGCTAGCCCCCACATCATCATCATTGGGAAAGCGGGAAAGTGGGATAGCGGATAGCGGGAAACCTTGGCTTTTCCGGGCCCTGAAAGTGGGCGGGCGGGCGTAAACAGTCAATGTTTGAGCAACGTGTTTTTAAACAGCGTTAGGTGTGATAACAGTTGAGGTCCGGCCATCGAAAGGAATGGGAATGTGGGGGAATCGGGGGCCAGGATCTGGATGGCATGGGGTCAAAAGCATGACAATGACAGCATAATTGATTTTCGAACAAAGCAAAGCAAGAACAAGGAGGCAGAGAAGAGGCCACATTTTCTGCAAGACAATTTATGAAATGGGTAGACCTAATATATATAGAAATGGCACTGCGCTATACACATACTACCCACTCCTATGCACTATATATGGGCTGGTACATAGGTTGTGGCCCATGTATCTGCTTGTCCGACAAACTTTGCCAGCAACCAACGAAGTAACACACGAAACTACTCTGATTTGGCTTTCCTCAGGAGCAACTTTATAAAATGTATATAAGCCGCAGCTTATATTCGTGTGGAAATAGAATTTGACCTCACTTCAGATGGGTTTTCCTACGTATACTAAATATTTGTTTCTTTATTTTTATATAAATAAAAATTCAGAGCGCATCGCCTGGCAATCATGGTAAACATTTAATATATTTTTGATATTGAGTTGTTAAATTGAGATTTTCTTATTAAATTTGCTTTTATTTGTTTGTTGACTTTTGTATTACAATCTGCTGCGGCTTAATAAAAGTACGTCTAGAAAAATGAGAAAAAAATGTTGAAACTTATTTACCCTATTTTTCTAAGCTTATATTTCACGGTACAAATAACAATTGCAAGACCAAGCTTTCTAATAATTTCTCAACTTTTGCCACCTTCTTAATTGATTTTGCCCTTGCTGTCTCTTAACTTGTCGGCATACCGCATTGGCCTCTACTCAACGGGCTCCGCTTGGCTGTGCTTTATTTAAAATTTATTTAAATGAAGCCGAACGTATAAATAGCGCCACTTTAGATGCAATCAATGGCTTAAGCATTTCAACGCTGGCCCAGAGTCAAGATAGCCAGCTTACAGGCGAGACGGAGCACTCGAACATGCTTCAGCAAATTCAAACAGATAAAATATGCAAAAATTAATTAAATACTTGCGCTTAGCATGTTCCTTGAAAACAATTTGCCAGACACCAAGGCTCATGTTGAAGGTGGTGGCTGTGTGTGTGTGTGTATTACAGGAGAGCCTGCCCCTGTGTGAGTTAGTCCGGAAGTAGCTGAACTGGTAAGGACCATGGCCAGAAGGGTCTGAATCGTTGGCTGAGGTGGCCGAAAGGGGGCGTGGCAGCCGGGTAGCCGGGTCGGCGTTGAGTTGTTGCCGTGGCCAGCGATGTCGACGTCGGCCTGTCCAGGTGTGGAAAGTGTGCTATATAATTTGCAGCCGACTAAAAAACAACAAAAAAGGGGGAAAAAAAGAAGAAATGCAATGAGCGTGCATCAGGAGGGCCAAAGGAAAGTACCAACAACAGCAGCGGGATGCCAGGCAGCCGGCAACAACAACATCGATTGCAATTTACTGCCTGATGCACTTAAGAAAATTTATGCAAATACCCAAAAATACTTACTTTACTTTCCCGGGGACCCAGGAACCTAGGAACCCAGGGAAGCCAGTGAGAGGGACGTCCTCAGCAAGGACAAACGGTATTATAGCATAAATTTTATACTGCCCAGGTCTACGAACCAGCCAGCTGAAGAAAGAGACGGCTAGATGGCCGGCGAAAGAGAGAGGGCTATGTTGCCTGGCATACTAAATGAAGCAGCGCCCACAAAACTGCCAGCGCTTGCTTCATTACTTAAGGAGAGAACCTACACCCCCTACCCCTACCTCATCCTCGTTCACGTTCACGTTTTTTTTTGTTTGAAAAATAGTTAAGAACAGCACACAAAATGAAGAGCAAGGCTCCCGTGTTATATATGGCAAATTGAGCAAGTCGACCGCCGAGAATCTGAGAATGCCCCCAGGTCGTCAGCGGGCGAGTGAGTTATGTAACCTGGACTGGTGGACGATGGAAGGTGGACACTGGCCGAACCAAAACAGCGAACACAATTGGAGGCTGACACCCTCTCATCCCCTGTCCCCTTTTTTTTTTGTTTGCTACGTGCTGCCGGCCACTCCGCAAAGTGGGGCATAAATCAGGGGCCAGCTCGGACTGCAAAACTGACAGCGGACAAATTTCCACCGCCGCTTGGCGCTGCACTAATTTGCCCAGGCATTCGCTCATCTTGAGATCCTGAGCCAAATTGATGTGCCCCAAGCTGGAGCTGCAGTTGCAGCGTGGGGCCAAGAGCGGCGAGATGGGAACCGGGAGATGAAAGCCAAGATGGAGATGGAGCGCTGCACAAATCTGAGGAGAGGCGGCAAGAAATATCGTGTTAACCAAATGTTGAAGCCAAGTGTTTGGCTGTTGCCTCAAGGGCCATGGCCAAGTCTTGGCACTCAAGTTCCGGGTCTCAGCTTTTTACACAACACGAATTTTTTCGCTGAGATAATAATCTGAATTGAGGAATTGTTTCACGGAGAAACCTTTCTTGGCTCAGTGTTATAAATTCAAAAACTTGTTCGGAATTACCTTGCTGGTAGCTCATTTCATGGCCACTAAAAAAGTGTTTAATTCTTATAGAAAAATGTAATACTTTTTCTACATAAGTTAAGTTGTGGAATTTTAAATAAAAGATAATTTCAGATGCTTTAGAAAATTGGTTTAAGAACTTCCCATTTAATTAACAAAATAATTAAGCAAAACAATTATTTTTAATTGAATTCTTTAAATAAATTTTAGTTTGATTTAAAGAAAGACATGGTATATCAATAAAAACTGTGCTTTGTTTCCACTTAAAATAATTAAAATTACAGAAAACCTTTTTGCAAAAAACCCATTCCACATTCAGGGTCACCATAAACTGACCAGGAAACAGACTTTAGGAATAATTTGTACCCTTTGTTTTGTAAACACCACTTAACCAGTTAAAAAGAACTATATTAGGACCCATAAAACTCGTTTTTGGTAGCGCAGTGCAGGTCCAGCTCCTTCCATGTGCTTGTAGGCACTTGTTGGCGACTTGTGTGATGAAGTGCAGGCAGCCAAGCAGCCAGGCAGACAGGCATCCGTAGTTTTCAGCTTTCAGCTTTCGGCTTGCCATTGCCACCCGCACCTTGGCCAAGAGGAGGAGCTGCAGACTG